GAGGTTTCGCGAATTTTTTACAAAAAATCAACGTATCAGATCTTGATCGCACTAATTATCATTGTTTCGGCTACAAAAAGTTATCTCTTTTATTTAAAATATAATTGAAATTCTGTGGTTCAGAGATTTTTTGTGCTGAACACTAATGCCTTGAGCTTATAGCGGGCGACATTACGGCGCGCGTGATGGTTTGAAACAAATGAGGCAAGGAAATTTAAAAACTGTATTAAATTCGCTGGAGGATGAATCTAAATCCCTTGGAAAATTTCTGAAATTAATATTCTTCCCGGAACATTAAATAAAAGAAAGAGTAGAAAGGGGGAAATAACATGTAACTTCGAAATGTTATTATTTTGCAAAAAATATCGACTTTCCACACATAAAATAAAGCTTTATCTCCAACAAATTTAATACAATTTTTTCTTATTGTCTTATTCAGTTTGTTTAAGATGATTACATGAGCTGTAAAAAAATTTTGACGACGAAATTTCAATTTTTTTTAATAAAAAATAATTATTTTTGCACTTGAAACAATGATAAATAATATGATCAAAACACGATATTAATACTTTTATTTTTTTTTTAATTCATAAAAACCTTCTATTTTTTCAGCTATCTGAATCTCCTCTCAATTTACACGCTTTTGCTCTGTTTTTTGTCGCGAAACTTTTTTACGTAATGTCAATGTGTGATTCCCACTGCGAAATCCCATGACTGATATTAAAGTCTAGATCTCTCTCCTTTTCCCGACATTCTTTTCTGCAAGAGAGATCCTCCCCTGAAATCAACTGCAATTCTTTCTTTCGTATCAAAGTCGCGATTAGAAGTTCTTATCACATGTGCGCGCGGTGAACGCGATGACAGTGATACGTGTAGCACAGCGGGGAACATATGTTCCCGTGTCAAACAAGAATTGCACGCTATCGCGAGCATGCAGCCGGGGACATTTGTCGATAAATCAGATCGCAGGGTCACGTTCGACTTTCGGTGGCACCCGGCGGTGTCGTGACGCACGAGACTCACGTGGCCTATTTCCTACGAACGATTTTCCGTGAATTGCCTCTATTATGTCCAATTATCGGCTCGGATGAAGATGGGTGATTTACGAGAGGTTCATCCGAGCAGACGCGACGGCGCGCAATAGAGAGGCAGGGAGAAACTCAAGGCCTATATACATATATATACATATATATACATCCGAAAACGTCACACTGTAGAGAAAAAATCTTCACATCGGTCGAGAGAGTCATTGTTAACGCTTTAGAACGAACAGATGAATTTATTAGAGTGACTAATAATTTGAACTTTGTTACGAGAGAGTAAGAGAGAGAGAGCTAATGTTCTCGGCCGAATAACTAACCAGAAGGGTTTGAAGAGGGACGAGAGACATGAGGAAGCTCTTCCACAAGCTGTATGCCACCCGTGTATCAAATTGTAGAACCTGGAAACACGTTGTCCAGGCTTGAAGCGAGAGGCAGTGGCGGTAGTCCTCGAGAGGTCGTTCTCGACGGTGAATGAACGGCACTCGAAGCGAAGCTTGTTTGCGCGACGACCGCCTCCCACGTTTCGCACGTGGCAAAGAAACACCGAGCAATTAAGGCTCTTCTTCTTTCGATCGACAGCCACTCGTGCGTTCGTGCTCTTCCTAGAGCGTTCCTGGGATTCTTCATGTGTCTCTCTGAAGCGCGGGCATTTCACGTTTACGGTCGATTCGACTGTCAGTGACTGAGCTCAGCCTCGCCATGTCTTTCCTCCCTTCGCGTTGCAAAGGCGACACAAGTGGAAGCAAAGGAACGCTCCTTTTTGGTCGCTTGTTTCTCCTTGTTCCTGTTTCTCCGTTTAGAAGACGAGAATGGAGGAATTTCGTCGATCTCGCTTCGTCGACGGGAATTTTACGATCAACTTTTTGTTTCTTTTTCGCGCTCTCTTTTCCCGTTTGCTCCGAAAAAAGAATCGCCCGGACGTCCGAAAGGGAATCGAATCGCGCCATGCCGCGCCGTCTCTGCGACTTTGACCTGTTGAGCTAGAAACGATCCTCCACGGCGAGAGTTCTCGTCGGCTACCTTCGTCATGGAATCCGCCTTATTACTGCGTCGGCACACCACCGCCGCGATACGACACGCCAACTCGTTATAATCCGATTTCATTGTTGTCGTCGCCGTCGTCGTTGCCGCCGTCGCGTCGCGTCGTAGCTGTTCGTACAAGCGAGATTAAAGCCGAGTACGTGGCATCACCAAAAGGACACCGTGGAAATTGAGGGCATAAAGGGACGTCGGCGAGGGTCAATTTTTAATTCATTCGCGTTGGGACCACCCACTCCGTTATACTCTTCCATTACGCTCACGTTAATACCGGCCACTCAGCGTTTACGAAGGAAAAGACAAACCGTTTAACTAACTCTCTCTTGACCCTCTCGCACGGAGAAAACTACCATGATCGCTATATCCACATATTCTATAGTTGGAGAAAAAAATTTACGTGATTTCAAGTAAGATAGATGTGATTAAAAGTTGTTGTTATTACATGCCCATCTATACAGTTCTCATAGCCGTAGTTCTTATGATGTATAATGTTCAGTTAGTACACCTTCATATACTTGCCTCAACCAAAGGAATATTGCTGTCTCTCTGTTGTGGTCTATAAAATACTATGAGATCCATTAAGAATTTTGGTACACCATACAGCACTGAGAGTACTGTTCATATGGATAGGCAGTAAAGAAGGTTAACATACTTACAGAGTACTGTGGATATTAGAATCATTTTGTATGCATATAATTAATATTTTATTGTGGCAACTATATTTAGACAAATGATATCCTTAATATTTTCTCCGTGGTGTTGTGTATTTTCACACGACGAAAATTCAAATAATTTTCCTGGGTAAGTATATTTGTCCACTTTAAAAAGTTAGAAAATTGTCCGACGTTATGTTTCCGTAACATTCAAGTGTGACATTTGATATTTCTATCGAATTCTTTACATATTCTTTTATTTCCGCGGTGTCTCTCTATCTCTCTTGAGTATCGGTTCGATATCTCGCGGATAAACACGTATTATGTGCGGCTGTTGGATTCATCGCGTATATATTTTACTATTTTCCGCGATATCTAATTATACTTTCTGTCGTGCTGTAAATTTGTCGCGCGCGAGACGAATTAATTAAATCAATTATCTGCTAATAAGCCATAATCCGCGAAGTGTTTTTAATCATCCGTTCCTTGCTACCCTTTCTCTCTCCGCTTTGTATTGATTTACACACTCTCAAACAGAAATATCCACCGCTCTCGTTCGAACTCCGTTCTGGAACGAGGAAGAGAGAAAGAGAGATAGGGAGGCGGAAAGAGACAGGAAAAGGGGAGGATTAAGGATGGGGCGCCTCTGAAATATCCATCTTCCTTCACCCGGTAAGAAGCGCGTTTTCCGATCAGTTAAGCCTGACTAAACCTCAGCGACGTTCCTAAGAGAGCTTCGGAACGGCTAAGGAAAGAGGTAAGGGGGGAAAAAAACGAGAAAAAGCAACGGCGAAATCGAGGGGGAGTTGGGAGGGTGAGTTTCGGGAGTTTTCGGAGGGAAAAGCAGGAAGAAACTCTTTCTTTCTCTCTTTTTCTCTCTTTCCCTGCCTCTCTCTCTCTCTTTCTCTTTCTCTCTCTCTCGGCTGAACTCAACTAGATAGAGCAGTGATTGAAAACTCCGCCCGCGGCGGTACGAGCTTCGATTTAAGTGTACACACGCGAAGCAAGGTATATATCCGGCGCGTTCTTCGACTTCTGACCGCCGCATATGGAATAATGTAAGCTACCGAGATTGCGAGCGCGGTCGGGAATTCAATAAATCTCTTCTTCTTCTCTCTTGCTTGTCGCTGCGCGACGAAAAACGGTCGGGTGAAAGTTTGCAGGCCAACTGGCTGACCACGTTTGACTTTTTCTACTGAAATGCCGCGCGAGCTAATTCTCCGCGCCACTCCCGTCGATTTTCTGCGGAAGAAGGGTGTGAGGCAGTTCGCAGGCTTTGGTATTCACAAGCCGATATTCATAGTCGGATCTTACATTTAGAACCGGCTTAAGTTCACCTTCAGATGATGTATGCGGATCGCTTCATTAACTACGGAGGAGCTGAAGATGAACTTAAGGTGACTTTAAATATAAGATACATCTGTGAATATACCGGCCTCAATCCCGCGATTGCCTTGCCATCGACAGATCAACAGTTACTGATCTATATTAATAATTATTGCTTGAAACTTGTCTCACGTGAGACAATTATCACGTGAGATTCGGATCTAAATTTTCAAGTTGGGTTTGAAATTTTCATTTATATCATATGATATACATGATATTATATTCTTATAATTAATTTTAGCTGACAAATTCATATCTTATTCTGAATGTAAATATCTTACTTGTGTATTAAATTTCAAGTAACATTAAGAATTGTTGGCCAGTCACTTTCGTTTTCAACTACGCGTTCCTCATGATTATTAATTAATCCAGCGACTAGAAAGGAGTGGTCGAAAATTTTTGGCGACTATCGATTTGGTGAATGGTAAGGCACTCCGCGGAACTGTACGTACGGGACAATTGATACTATCTCGTTAATTGCGTGTATGTGCCGAGGGTGCAGAGTATCTGATCTGTAACGGCATACGTTTCTGGTGGTGAGGGAGGGGTGGTATCTGCCGAAACTTTGCCCGCAGTTTCTCAGGCGCAAGCGGTTTCCATTAACGGTCGCGATAAATATTAACAGGGAGGGAGCATCGAACGTTGGCGCTGTTTAAACTTAATACACCGCGTTATAACGATAGAGTCAGGATAGCACGCGGCGGGATTATTTCTCTGGATATTAGATGATCCTAACATACCTCTCTCGTGCTTCTTATTTATGAGACCATTTATATCCTCTCGCTTCCACAGGTTATATATTTATGGCGAGTGAGGGGGCATTAAGTTCTCAGCTCGTTTTATCCGATGACTCACGCGGGATCCATCCTTTTTGTTCCAGGTTAAGCTCGACAAGAGTCACAGCGGCAAGCCTTCCAGAGTCATTCATATCAGGAACATACCTAACGATGTGTCAGAGCAAGAGATCATCCATCTGGGCGTACCCTTCGGCCGCGTCACCAATGTCCTCGTTCTCAAAGGCAAGAATCAGGTATGTGTCGATGAGAATTGTCCCTTGTGTTTACGACACGAAGGAAACATAAAACGATAAAGCTATCATATTTACCGCACTCTCTTAAAGCGAATCAGTGAATAGTCACTGATACCAATTATGAATATAGCACTGAGCACTTTCAGTGCTATACTTATAACTGCAATCAGTGTATATTCACTGTTTTCAGTGATGTTTGACTGATTCATTTTAAGAGAGCATATGGTAAAATTGCGAATATGAAATAAAGGTAGAAGTAGCAATTCCCTCTGTTTTTCTAATGAAAATTTCAATAATTTAAAAGAGCTGAAGCTGGCAAAAAATAACAGTTATATGTTCAATAACGCTGTTTATCAATAATGATTTAACTCTAGATTTTATACCATAACAAAACTAAACAGAAATAAAAAAGGCGTCAGCTGATGTCAATAAGATTGAAATCAGAGTCAAAGGAGCAATTTAGATATGAATGCCTTTTCATTCTCTGTATATTTGTTAGTAATCCGTTGGAAACAGAAGCTTTCTGTGTAATAAAACATTTGGCAATTTGTTAAAATGTATGATGTATTACTACGTTTTCCATCCAAGCTTCTCCCAGCATCCTGGCTGTTCCATCATGATATCGACTCTGACACTCGCGTAGATACAATTCAATCGAAGATACGCATGTTAATTAATTTTCGTTAGGCGCTTCGTTTGTTCGCGATGTAACGCTCGCTTACCAAAAAGTGCGCGACGCGCAGGTCTACTACGACAATGAATCGAAAAAGTCCCCCCTTCGTCGTCAACACTCACCGCTCATCAATAACCGTCGCGCGATCACAATGAAAACATAGGGAACTTGTAAGGGGGGGGGGGGGCATGTTTACTGTTGTGCTTCACGGACTTTCCCGGGTCTTCCCATTCAGTTCCGAGCCGGCAAGCGGCGCGCGTACATGTGTTAGTGCATTATCGATCGTTCCTCTCGAATAATTAAACTATTTCGGCCTCTTTAAGATACTCGATTGGTCTCTCACCGGCATCGCGTTATTTAATACGTGTATCTTCGATTGAATTGCATCTGCGCGAGTATCACGACGAAGCAGTTAGGATACTGGATTGAGGAGCCAGGACGGAGAACCTCGGGACGTGGGCGACGATACATCATATATTTTGCCAAGGTATGCCAAATCATTTATTACGTAGAAAGTTTCCGTTTTTGACGGACTTACCAAGGAAAAAGAAATATCCGAAATTTAGGCCGGCAGTTTATTTTATCGTTCTACATAAAACTAAATGTTTATTGCATTGCATTTAATAGTTTCGTTGATCTCCGATTAATCGTCAGTCTGTGTATTTATTACATTATTTCATACAAGTAATATTAATCCAAATAGCTGAATATGGCTCATGAATATAAATCAGTAATTTATTATGTTCTCAATCAGAGATCTTAAATAATTCACAACTCTGTAAATATCAGCCTTGGAATATAAATTTCACAAGTGTTAATTTTCACGTCTAATAATGTTTTTTCGCCTCGAGTCCGATCTTGTTGATATCAGCTAACTCTTTTTTTGCTTTTGTTCATTCTTTATGTCGAACAGTTAATTGTTATAGATAAACAGCACTATTGGACATATAGCTGTTACTTTTATCTTTCTAGCTTCGTATCAGTGGGAGTTAGACAGAATCAAAAGAAGTTGAATTAGGCGTCAGAGTATCGAAATAGCCGTCGAATAGAATATTGAGGTCGAAAGTAAGATCATAGATCGTATCATCGCGGATTGTTTTATGGTCGGATTCTTGATTGTTATGTAATATAACGTAACGTTCGCATTCGTTCGCGATTGCGACGCTGCGATCCTCATCGCCGGACACGACGTACTCCAAAGAGAGAGAGAGAGAGAGAGAGAGGGAGGGAGGGGGGAGAGAGAGAGGATTCGTGCCGCATGAATGACGCACTTCGCGGCCGCGGCGACGCGCATGGTCGGCCGTGCAATAGCGGAGACAATCGAATCGTCGATACGCGGTCGAATCGAGTCGACGATCGCCCGTTTAAGCATTATTATCCATTATTACCCGCGCGCTCTCCGCTTCGCTCCGCGCCACGACAAAGGCGATCCGCGCTCTCCCCGATGGAAAACGCAATCGTCCCGACATCGTCATCCTCCTCGCTCGGCCCAACCACCGGCCCAACCACTCTCGCCAGCTCTCGTGCTTTCTCTCGGCGCTCGTTCGTGACGCTACACGCATCGCGGCGCTATTATTTCGTACGAGGGCCGGTTTATCGAGTTCCAGTCTCGGTTTAGCGAGCAACGTTTTCTATCGACCGCGCTCTGTTCTCGGCTCCGCCATTCTCGCGCGCAATTCGCCGTGTTCGCGAGTGCGTCTCTCCTTTTCTCAATCTGCGAGCGACTTCTTTGCCGATATTTCCCTCGATTCTCTGTCGTGCTTAGGTCATTGCTTTACATTATCATTCTATGTTTGGGAGTGGTTGCTGGCACACTTTGCAAATGAATTTCCCCAAACGCGTATTCTCCCTGTCAAAATTTTGACACTCTGAAGTCTGCATCAACCTCTTTTGATTTCATTTAACTAATTAGCTTTGCTTAAAATGTAAATTCAATATTTTAACGAAGAATATTAAATTGAAATAAAAATTCAGTCAGCCCACTATCTGGAACCAAACCGACTTTTTCTTCGATAAAGTTTCACAATATTCTTATAAAAAGGATATATTCTTCTTTTGAATAATGAGTTTGTCTCAAATTTGTGATCAATATATTTTAAGACTGTTATCAAGAAAATATTCTTTGTGGAGAAGATAACCATTAATTAAAAGAAGGAAAGTTAACTAAATACTGACTAAATACATTCGCTTTTCTTACCAGAGTAAAGTGATATTTTTTTACGCACAAGCGTGTTAAACGTTCATTGATCCTTCAGAATACACAGATGTTAGAAGAGTAAAGTCCAAAAATAAGGTTAAAATTTAGAATTTGGGGTCATAGAAAGAAGGGGAGGAAGAAATCGTCCGATACAAGCACTTTTTGTGCATCTCTCACGTACTTTCATTGTTATCGTATCGTTACTTCGTGTCGACATAAATTTTCCGCCTACCACGCTACCAGTTGTTAGATTAAAACTGATAGAACGACAAATACGGGGGCAATTCTGCCAGCTGACCGTCGCGACGATCCGAGGTTTTACGATACCAACCGAGCCATCTTCTCTACGGACCTACGGACTCGATTACGCGCAAACGGAATTACGTTTACGCGAACAGCCTGCTCTCGTCCGCCCGCGTCGCGTTCCCCGACCTGCGTGATCAAAATATCAATTCGCTTCGGCGACATTAATTCCGTGCTCGCACGTGCGACCGGCGCTCGTCAGAGGAGGTTAACGTCGCTTCATAAAGCTCTGTGGGCTTTGCGATGTACGCCTCGGTTCCGCTAACAATGATTATTCCGATAACAACGCTTGTCCATCTCTCGCGCGGCACCGTCGCCCCTGTGACTTCGCGCCCGTATGCGATGCCACCGCGATATGCAATTCGCGTAAGTGGCCCAGTAGAGACGCACTCGGATAATTCGTATCTGCCATTGGCGCTCTTACGTTCACATCCCCGCGGGAAGCGTAAATGCACAGCACATTGCCAGTGCGAACGTGAATATTTGTCGTGTCACCGGTAACAAATACGTTCGGTTGTGTTATACAGGGTGTGCCGCTTTCGCAATCTCTCGGGTGAGGATGTAGAGTGGATTAAAGTGAACACAAAAGTTCTATGCTGTTTTGCAATTTTCGCAAGAATTATCAATTAAAGAAGATTGATGCATTATCGCGCAAAATCGTCAGTGAGCAACAATTTTCTTTAATTAATAATTCAAAATCTGCTAAATGGTAGAGGACATTTTTGCCCAGTTTGATCTAATGTGCAAACACCGCCACTACAACTCATCTACCATATCATGCGTGATCATTCCCAAATCTTTCACAATAGTATCTCGATCGTTAATAAGATTCTCGCAAAAGTCTTGTATGATACTTTTTTGTTCATCCTCAGTTCACTGTACGTCTTCACGAGAGATTGTGAAATCGGGCATCCTGCACAGAAAAAAAGATTCGGTTGAATTAACCAAATATCTGGTCGAATATGAACGATCCAGAAATTTCGATTAAAGTAACCCGAATTCTATTTAAGTTAACAAGATTTTTGGTACACTAACCAAACATGTCTGGTTATTTAACCAAACATACCTGGTTACTAAAAATCTTGTTAACTTAAATCGAATTCGGGTTACTTCAATCGGAATTTCTGGATCGTTCATATTCGACCAGATATTTGGTTAATTCAACCAAATCTTTTTTTTCCGTGTGTAGACGTCCGTAATGTTTTTAATGGCCGACCTTTGTGTGCCGTAAGCGCGTGCCGCGAAAATACGCTGGCAGTCAGCAGTTGCGCGTCACGTTGGTTCAGATTGCGAACAATGTGTATAGCCTCTGGGCGCACGCGGGAAGTCCTCTCGTATTTTTTCTCCGTGCTTGAAACGCGTTCGGAAAGCCCGGTCTCGCGATTTTTGTGATGTTTCGATTCGTCGCTCTTTGAAATAATGCGTCGATGTAAAGTAATGCATTTGAGTGCGGTAAGAACGCCGTTATTCTGGTATTTTTTTTTTTTTTTACGTTAACTGAAAACACGAGTGAAGAATTTGCGTCGCGGAATGGCGACATTTTCGCGAGAGAGGATCGAGAACAAGGTCTGCTCGAAATAAAAGCACCAATGACACTCTATGATACCGAGAGAAAAAAATAATTGAACTAACTGAAGTTATTGTTATTTTTCCCTTTATGTTTAACTGTATTTTTGTTGGTTGTTCTTAGACGAAAATGACAGTCGAAACACGCATATAAGCTTGTCATCGCTAGCATACAGTAGAAGTTAAAGAAACAACGGTTTTCTCAATCATAATTTATAGTAGTTATTTCTCTGTATGTTTAGTTACAAATACCAAACATTC